GCCCAAAATGTATTCAGCAGTGGAACTCTCTGCCTGTGTGGGGAGGCTCCTTCTTTGGAAGCTTTTAAACAGAGGCTGGATGGCCATCTGTCGGGGGGTGCAGTTGAATGCAATTTTCCTGCTTCTTGTCAGAATGGGGTTGGACTGGATGGCCCATAGGTCTTTTCTCCCACCCTGGACTTTCCACATTACATAAACCCAATTTTCCTAGTTTCCAACAGACCTCACAACCTCTGAGGAGTCTGCCATAGATGCAGGCAAAACGTCAGGAGAGAATGTTTCTAGAACATGGCCATACAGTCCAAAAAACCTACAACTCAGTGATTCCAGCTTTGAAAGCCTTCAACAATACATTGTTGTTATTATTATTATTATTTGTGGTAGAGCTCAGTGTGCCAACACACTTGATGCCATTGACAACACCTTGTCCAGTTTGATGTTGTCCAGTTGTTACCACCACCATCAAACCCAACATTGGGTTGTTGTAGTTTTTTCGGGCTATATGGCCATGGTCTAGAGGCATTCTCTCCTGACGTTTCGCCTGCATCTATGGCAAGCATCCTCAGAGGTAGTGAGGATTCGCATTCGCTTATTACGTCAGGAGAGAATGCCTCCAGAACATGGCCATATAGGCTGAAAAAACCTACAACAACCCAGTGATTCCGGCCATGAAAGCCTTCGACAAAACCCAACGTTGCTGTTTGATACCAAGGAAGGAAGGAGTGGACTGCAATTGTATGGATCTGGATTATGATTTTGAACTAGTGAATTGTTTTAATTGATAGTTTATAATTGTTTTAACTGTTTTACTGTATTTTTTATGTTTAATTGTATTGTGTCCGCATCTAATGGTTGCCTGTTGTAAGCCATCCTGTGTCCCTCTTCGGAGGTTGAGAAGGATGGGATAGAAATGCTCAAAATAAATAAATAAGGAGGGAAGGAGAGAAGGAAGAAGTCTGCAAACTGTCCTCCACCAGAGAACTGTTCCAAACTAGTGGGAAATGGTGCAAGAGGCAGAAAAAGGGCCTCAGCCCTTCTAGAGTGCAGTGAAGTCCAGCCAATTCTAAGCCGAAAGCCTCTCTCCAAGGTGCTGAAAGCCTTCCCTCTGAAGATGCGCCCAGCCTCTTGGCTGGATCTCCATAGCTTCTAGGGCAGTATTTCTCAACCTTCCTAATGCCGTGACCCCTTAATACACTTTCTCATGTTGTGGTGACCCCCAGCCATAACATTATTTTCATTGCTGCTTCATAACAGCAATTTTGCTACTGTTATGAACTGTAATGTAAATATCCAATATGCAGGATGTATTTTCATTCACTGGACCAAATTTGGCACAAATACCCAAAACACCCAAATTTGAATACTACTGGGATTGGGCGTGGGATTGATTATGTCATTTGGGAGTTGTAGTTGCTTTCATTTATAGTTTACCTACAATAGAGAAGCATTCTGAACTTCACCAATGATGGTATTGAACCAAACTTGGCACACAGAACTCCCATGATCAACAGAAAATACTGGAAGGATATGATGGGCATTGACCTTGAGTTTTGGAGTAGTAGTTCACCTACATCCAGAGAGCACTGGGGACTCAAACAATGATGGATCTGGACCAAACCTGGCACAAATACTCAATATGCCCAAGTGTGAACACTGGTGGCATTTCGGGAAAATAGACATTGACAGTTGGGAGTTGTAGTTGCTGGGATTTATAGTTCACCTACAATCAAAGAGCATTCTGAACCACACCAATGATAGAATTGGACCAAACTTCCCATGCAGAACCCCCATGACCAACCGAAAATACTGTGTTTTCTGATGTTCTTTGGTGACCCCTCTGACACCTCCTTGTGACCCCCCCCAAGGGTCCTGACCCCCAGGTTGAGAACCACTGTTCTAGGGGAAAGCTTAACCCAGTGGTTCTCAACCTGGGGTCCCCAGATGTTTTTGGTCTTCAACTCCCAGAAATCCTAACAGCAGATAAACTGACTGGGATTTCTGGGAGTTGTAGGCCCAAAACATCTGGGGACCCCATGTTGAGAACCACCCTAGTCTCTCCTGGGGGAAGAAGACCCCATCCTCCCTGGTGCTAGGAAATGGGGCCACTGGCTGCACATTGGGACCCTCACAAACACGACATGACAACAAAGGCCCCACAATCAGGAGAACATCAAGTTAAGGCCTTCTCCTTTGGAAAGTTGGGACAAAAATGAAAGAAAGGAATAATAGGAAGGAGAGAAGAGAAGGAAGGAAGGGAGGGAGGAAGGGAGGGAGGAAGGAAGGAAGAGAAGGAGGTGGTGCCAAGAAAGAGTGAGTCTCTTGAGGAAGAGTGCAGTCAAGGCCAGAGGCTGGTCATGGCTCAAGTCACTGAGGCATCTGGCAAAAGAAAAAAAAGGAAAGAAGGAAGAAAGGAAGGAAGGAAGGAAGGAAGGAAGGAAGGAAGGAAGGAAGAAAAAGAGGTGGTGCCAAGGAAGGGCCACCTGCCACTTGAGGAGGAGTAGTGAAGGTCAGAGACTGGTCCTTGCTCAAGCCTCTGGTGAAAGAGAAAAAGAAGGAAGGAAGGAAGGAGGTGGTGCCAAGGACGACCCATCTGCCTCTTGAGGAAGAAGGCAGTGTAGACCAGAAGCTGTTAGTTCCTCAAGTCACCAGGGCCTCTGGCAATAGAGAAAAGGAAGGAAAAAAGGAAGGAAGAAAAGGAGGTGGTGCCAAGGAAAAGCCACCCACCTCTTGAGGAAGAGGGCAGTGTAGGCCAGAGGCTGGTCCTTGCTCAAGTCAATGAACCTCTGGTGAAAGAGAAGAGGAAGGAAGGAAGGAAGGAAGGAGGGAAGGAAGAAGAAAGAAGGAAGTGATGCTAAGGAAAAGCCACCTGCTTCTTAAGGAAGAGGGCAGTGTAGGCCAGAGGCTGGTTCTTGCTCAAGTCGTTGAACCTCTGGCAAAAGAGAAAAGGAAGGAAAAAAGGAAGGAAGGAAGGAAGGAAGGAAGGAAGGAAGGAAGGAAGGAAGGAAGGAAAGGAGGTGGTGCCAAGGAAAGGCCATCCGCCTCTTGAGGAAGAGTGCAGTGAAGGCCAGAGGCTGGCCTTGCTCAAGTCGTTGAACCTCTGGAGAAAGAGAAGAGAAAGGAAGGAAGAAGAAGGTGATGCCAAGGAAAAGCTGCCTGCCTCTTGAGGAAGAAGGCAGCGTAGGCCAGGGGCTGTTAGTTCCTCAAGTCACTGGGGACTCTGGCAAAAGAGAAAAGGAAGGAAAGAAGTAAGGATGGAAGGAAGGAAGGAAGGAAGGAAGGAAAGGAGGTGGTGCCAAGGAAGGGCCACCTGCTTCTTGAGGGAGAGAGCACTGAAGGCCAGAAGCTGGTCCTCGCTCAAGTCAATGAACCTCTGGTGAAAGAGAAGAGGAAGGAAGGAAGGAAGGAAAGAGAAGAGAGAAGGAGGTGATGTCAAGGAAAAGGAACCTGCTTCTTGAGGAAGAGTGCAGTGTAGGCCAGAGGCTGTTAATCCCTCAAGTCACTGGGGCTTCTGGCAAAAGAGAAAAGGAAGAAAGGAAGGATTGAGGGAGGGAAGGAAAGAAGGGGGGGGGGCGCGGCGGAAGCCTTTCCTTCCTCCTCCTCCTGAGGAAGAGCGCAGTGCCGCCTGAAGCGGATCCCTGCCTGAAGGACCTTTGAGGAAAGGGAAGGAAGGAAGAAGGCAGCGAGAAGGAAGGAGGCGCTGGGGAAGGAAGCCCTCCCGCTTCGGGACGAAAAGCGCCTCGGAGGAAGGCTTCCTGGAAGCGGGAGGCGAGCGGGCGAAAGAGGGAAGGAGAGAAGGAGCAACGAAGGGAAGCGAGGGAGAGAAAAGAAACGCCGCGGAATCAGGACCGGGAGGGCGGGAGGGCGCTCTCCGTAAGACCTCTGGAGAAAGGAAAGGAGAAAGGAAAGGAAAGGAAAGGAAAGGAAGGAAGGAAGGAAGGAAGGAAGGAAGGAAGGAGAAAAAGAAGGAAGGAAGGAAGGAAGGAAGGAAGGAAGGAAGGAAGGAAGGAAGGAAAAGGAAGGAAGAAGAAGGGAAGGAGAGAGGGGAAGGAAGAAGGGAAGAAGGAAGGAAAGAAAGAAAGAAGAGAGGGAAGAAGGAAGGGAAGGAAGGAGAAGAGAAGGGGAAGAAAGGAAAGAAAGAAGGAAGGAAAGAGAGAGGGAAGAAGGAAAGGGAAGGAAGGAAGGAAGAAAGGAAGGAGGAAGGAAGGAAGGAGGAAGGAAGGAAGGAAGGAAGGAAGGAAGGAAGAAAGAGAGAAGGAAAAGAAGGAAGGAAGGAAAGAGGAAGAGAGGGAAGAAGGAAGGGAAGAAAGAAGGAAAGGAAGGGGAAGAAGGAAGAAAGGAAGGAAAGAAGAGGAAAGAAGAGAGGGAAGGAAGGAAGAAGGAAGGAAGGAAAGAGGGGAGAAGGAAAGAAGAAGGAAGAAGGAGGAAGAAAGAGGAGAGGAAGGAAGGAAGGAAGGAAGGAAGGGGAAGGAAGGAAGGAAGGAGGAAGAAGGAAGGAAGAAGGAAGAAGGAAGAAAGAAGAGGGAAGAAGGAAGGAGGAAGGAAGGAAGGAAGGAGAAAGAGAGGGGGAAAGAAGGAAAGAAAGAAGTAAAGGAGAGAGGGAGGGAAAAGGAAGGGAAGGAAGAGAAGGAAAGAGAAGGGGAAGAAGGAAGGAAAGAAGGAAAGAAGAGGGGGAAGGAAGGAAGGAAGGGAAGAAGGAGGGAAAGAGAGAGGGGGGAAGGAAGGAAAAACAGAGAGGGGAGAAGGAAGGAAGGAAGGAAGGAAGGAAGGAAGGAAGAAGAGAGAAAGGTAAGGAAGAAAAGAAGGAAGGAAGGAAGGAAGGCGATTGCAGAGGAAGAGTGCAGCGAAAAGCAATAGCAGAGAGAAGGACGAGCGGCAGGAAGGAAGGAAGGAAGGAAAGAAGGGAGGAAGGAAGGAAGCGAGAGCGGCGCATCCTGAGGCCCGGCGTCGTCGTCGGCGGCGGCGGCGGGAGGCGGGGGCGAGCGTCGGGGGCGCGCAATTGACGTCGCCCGAGCGCCGCCGCCGCCGCTTCTGCCTCTGCTGCTGCTGCTTCTGCTGCTTGTGCTTCGACTGCTGGGCGGCTTCCTCCTCCTCCTCTTCCTCCTCCTCTTCCTCCTTCCCTCCCTCCCTCTCCCCATCCTCCTCCTCCTCCTCCTCCTCGCAGGGAGGCGCACGTAGAAGCCCAACGTGACCATTGCCGCCTTCGCTGCCTTCTCCTCCTCCGCCGCCGCCGCCACCCATCTCCGGGGCCTTGGCGTCCTCTTCCTCCTCTTCTTCCTCTTCCTCTTCTTCCTCTCCGCCATGGCTCCGGAGCCCCCTTCCTCCTCCTCCTCTCCCTCCTCCTCCTCCTCCTCCTCTTCCGCGAGGGGCATCTAGGCGCCTTCCTCGGGCTCCCCTTCCTCTCCTCCTCCTCCTTCCTCCTCTTCTTCTCCTTCCTTCCTTCCTTCCTTCCTTCCTTCCTTCTTTCCTTCCATCCATCCATCCCTCCACCCGGCGTGCTCGGTGGGCGGCAGCGGGGGCGAGGAGAGCATGTGGCCCCCCCGGCCATGGATCTAGGCGAGGGCGAGGAGGGCGGGGGCCGCCGCGGGGGACCCCTCCCCACCTTCTTCCTCCTCCTCCTGGGGGGGCTCCTCCTCCTCTTCCTCCTCCCGCCGGGGGCCAGCGCGCAAGGCGTCTACGGTGAGTAGGACCCCAAATATGTGTGTGTCCCCCCCCTCCTCCCCAATTTCCGTTTCAGCCCGGAATGCCAAGGCAGGAGAGCGGGTCAAGGCCTTTGCAGCCCCCCCCCCCTTCCTTCCTTCTCTCCCCTCTTCCTTCCCGGTTCATGCTCTGCCTTGCAAGCCTCCCCCCCCCCCACCCCCGGTATACGTGCACAGGCATTGCAGGAAATGACCCCCCCTCTCCCTGAAAGAATTGGAACGGGAGGGGGGGGGAAAGAGAGAGATCTGTTTGGAAGGGACTCTTTCGGCATTCCCTCCCTTCTTCCCTCTCTGGAAAGGTCTCTCTGTGTGTGTGTGGTTTTTCTTTTGGGGGGGGGGGGGTAGTGTAGGCTTGTGCCCCTTCCTTCCTTCCTTCCTCTGGTCTCTCCCTCCTTCCAAGAATAATGGGTCCCGGAGGTGGCATCCTTCGCACTCAGGGCTCTCTCCCCAAGAGGAGAACCAGCAGGAGAGAGAGAAAGGGGGGGGGGGCTGCTTGCTGGAGCCCCTTCCCCTCCCTTATGGAGCCCCCTTCTGCTCGTCTTGTGTTGCCTCTCCATTGGGCTGCAGGGTCCCCTTCCTTTCTCCCCTGGGTTTGCAGTTGGAGGGAGCCCCCCCCTTTCCCCCTATGGCTTGAAAATGTCCCCCCCCTCCTCTGTGACTATCTCCCTCCACAAACTCCACTTTGCCAGGCAGATGCCCGGTCTGTTCTGTGCCCTCCTTGGGCAGCCCCATCATCATCATCCTCATCATCATTACCATCATCATTATTGCCCCTCTTAAAGGAGACTCAAAACGGGATATATATATATATATATATATATATACACACACACACATACATACATACACACACACACACATACATACATATACATACATATACATATTTACATATACACACACACCCATGTGTGTATGTATATATCACACATAAATATATGTAATGTATATGTATATATGTTTGCATATATATGTGTGTATATATACATAATAATGCACACACATAAATATATGTATGTATCTATATGTATGTATATATATGTGTGTGTGTGTGTATATATATATAATAACACAAACATAAATATATGTAATGTATATGTATATTTGTGCATGCATAGATATGCATATATGTGTGTATATATAATAATGCACACACATAAATGTATGTATGTATCTATATGTATATATGTATGTGTATATATATGTATATATGTGTATATATATAATAACACACACACACATATATGTAATGTATATGTATATATGTGTGCATATATATGTATATATATAAAATGCACACACATAAATATATGTATGCATATGTATATATATGTGTGTGTGTGCGCACATATGTATATATATATGTGTATATATATATAACACATACATAAATATATGTAATGTATATGTATATATGTGTGTGCATAGATATTCATATATGTGTATATCTAATATATATACACACATACATATATACATATACGTTACATATATTTATGTATGTCTATATATATGTGTATATATGTATATGTATATATATATAATAACACATAAATATCTGTAATGTATATGTATGTGTGCGCATAAATATTCATATATGTGTATATATAATAATGCACACACATAAATATCTGTAATGTATATGTATGTGTGCGCATAAATATTCATATATGTGTATATATAATAATGCACACACATAAATATATGTAATGTATATGTATATATGTATATACATATACATTACATATACTTATGTATGTATATATATCTGTGTGTGTGTGCATAGATGTGTATATATATAATACCACACACACGCACACACACATTCCCCATGTCCTAAATTGCCCGCTCCACGTGGAGTCAGCCCTGCTCAGGGGGTGCTGGTGCCTTCCTCCCGGGCAGAGATGATGTCTTGGAGAGACCCTTACCCCTTTGGGTCCCCTCCATCCAAGGGGGAGTCCAGAAGGAGATCTTTCCCTGCTTCCATAGACCTGCCCCCCCCCCACAAGGATGCCTGCTTGGGCCTGGGCCCCAGAAAGAGAGAGAGAGCAGGCTGGCCCCACATGAGGCCTCCTTCTTTGCCCGCTGGGCAATGCGCCCTCCTCCCCTCCCGTGCCTCCCAGAGCAGGGAGGCTGTGTGCCAGGCATGTGCCTTGTGTGTGCGCCTGTGTGTAGCCGTGTTGGAGAGAGGCTAAAAATAACCCTCTATTAAATCCCCAAACCTCCCGGTGTGGAGGTGGGAACACACTCCGCTTGGCAGCCAGGGGGAGATGATGATGATGGCGCTGCTGCTGCTGCTGATGATGAACCCTCCGGAAGCAGCAGTGATAGCAAGGAGAGCTGCCTGGCATCCTCTTCCTTGGCCTTGGAAGCATCTCACACACTCAACACACACACAACACACACTGGGAGAGTGCCGGCTGCATGGGTGCATGCCCGGTGTGGTAGTGGGCACCCTTTGTGCCATGCAAAACCTCAGTTGACGTGGGCAGAGAGGAGGGAGGGAGTAGAGCCATTCACTCCTGGAGGCAGGCAGCCAGCTTCCCTTCTCTCTGCAGCAGCATTTGTGTGTGTGTGTGTATACACTCATACACCAACTGCTTCTCCATAGTGCCATTTGCCCTCTGAAGAGACCACCCAAGCCTTGCCAGCCCCTCTCCCCACATTGAGAGCCAGGGATGCTGCTGCTGCTTCCTTCCCAATGGGTCCCCTTGGCTTTCCTGCACCACATCCCATTGCCCTGGCAACAGCCCTGCGGATCCGTCTCCCTTTGCTTTGGGTTTGGGATCAGAGGAGGGAATGAGAAGGTGCAACATCTCTCCCAGGGAGGAATGGAGCATGGATGGGGGATTTTGGACCGCATTTGGATATGGTGCCCATGGTAGGATACCATCATAGGAAGGRTCCCTCTTGGATACCTTTGCATCCTTTTCAGCCACATATGCAACCCTCCATTGCATCCTCTTGGGTGCCTTTGCATCCAGTTCAGCCACATGTTCCATGTTCCAAAGCTTTGCCATTTCCTCTTGCACATACAGCRTCATATGCAACCCTCCATTGCATCTTCTTGGGTGCCTTTGCATCCAGTTCAGCCACATGTTCCATGCTCCAAAGCTTTGCCATTTCCTCTTGCACATACGGCTTCATATGCAACCCTCCATTGCATCCTCTTGGGTGCCTTTGCATCCAGTTCAGCCACATGTTCCAAAGCTTTGCCATTTCCTCTTGCACATACGGCTTCATACGCAACCCCATTTGCCCCTTCCCCTTCTGCATGAACATTGAGATTGTGTTGTCAAAGGCTTTTATGGCTGGAATCACGGGGTTGTTGTAGGTTTTTGGGGGCTATATGGCCATGTTCTAGAGGCATTCTCTCCTGACGTTTTGCCTGCATTTATGGCAAGCATTCTCAGAGGTTGCCAGACCTCACAACCTCTGAGGATGCTTGCCATAGATGCAGGCGAAATGTCAGGAGAGCATGCCTCTAGAACATAGCCATATAGCCCAAACAAACCTCCTACAACAACCCATTGAAATTGTGGTTGTCGCGTTCTTCCCAGAGTGTTGTTTCCAAGGATGCCTTTGCTTACGGATCGGGTTCTCCTCTGCTCAGTTTGCCTTGGGTTCCAGACCAGATGCCTTGAGGGGTTTCCATAGATGGAGAGCTTTGCACCGTTTGGGATTATGCTCATCCAGTGGTTTAGGAGACAAATGTGGGATCCTTCTTGTGTCGAAATGTCCCAATTCCCTCGTTTCAAATGTGCAGTCCTTTTCGTGTCGGAATGTGCCCTCTTTGGTGTTTCTATCAAGCACATTTCCCTGGCTTTGGAGTCAAATGTGCATTCCCTTTTGTGTAGGAATGTGTCTTCTTTGGTTTCCCATGTTCCGAACCTTTGCCCTTTCCTTTTGTATCCTATGACAGTCCATATATGTCTTCGTGTGCAACCCTATTTGCCCTTGCGGTGCCCGAGTGTTGCTTCCAAGGATGCGTTTGCATGCACGCAGACATGGTTTCTACCCCAGAACTTTGCATCCAGGCCATCTGTTGATACCTGCTCTGGTGCCCATTGGAGCTTGTCGGACAAGGTGCTGTGGGTTGCTTGGCACTTGAAATAATCTATATGCATATCTGTTTTCAAAAAGGGTTTCATGCCTCCGCGTTGGGGAAGAATCTCTCCGTGCGGCACAGGATGTTCGCTGGAGCCCAGGCAGTCCTTTTCTGGCTCCTTTCTCACACACGGCATGTGGCGTGTGACGTGTGGGCAGGCAGATCTCACTCCCTGGGACCCTTTGCAAGGAGTGATTGATGCCTTGCCTGGTTGTTGGCCCATTCACTGCCAAATGATGGGGTTTGTGCAGGCCACACAAATGTTGCTGCATTATGTGTGATATTTTCCCCTCTTCTGCATTCAAAAATATGTGGATTTGTAGAGGAATTTAGCCTCACCGTTTTGGGATGTATGGTATATCTCATGTGCATTTGCAATACAATAGACTCTTAGTTAACCAGCACCAGTTTGGCATCATTAGACATTGACAGTTACTATTGAATTGGGCCTGACTCAAACTATATATATATATATACCTCATACTATTTATTTATTATCTATTTATTTCGGGTAATTTTACTCCGCCCTTCTCAACCCCCTCGGGGCGCACTCAGGGCGGCTTCCAGCCGGCACATATCAGATGCCTACAGTTAAACACAATGAAATACACAACAAAACAGTAATTACAAATAATTAAAACATTATAAATAATATTAAACTATACCATAAGCTCTAGGAGCGCCCGGTTGTACAGTGGGTTAAACCCTTGTGATGGCAGGACTGAAGACTGACAGATTGGAGGTTCGAATCCGGGGAGAGCGTGGGTGAGCTCCCTCTGTCAGCTCCAGCTCCCCATGCGGGGACATGAGAGAAGCTTCCCACAAGGATGTTAAAACATCAAAACATCCATGCAACATCCCCTGGGCAACAG